GCGAAAAAAGATCTAAGTAAATTGAAAGATAAGCTCATAGAATATTTCAATATTGCAGCTTGAGGTTTGACATTTTTCTTGAGTTCTATTTAAAGGTTTAAGCTATGTCTCCTACATCTCATCAGGTCTCTCGTTAGTGTTCAATGTAGCACAACCATCCTTGCAATTGAGGTGGGATAGACTCAAGGTCATATTTTGGTTCTCATGAATTGTTTTCATTTTCTTTGACTTCAAACTGCACTTACATCTGAGCAATTGATGTGTGTTCCACAGTTCCTGGCCAGGTTTTAGCTGCTGATATTGAGCTTCTCCGTGGTCTTGTCCCCCAAATATTGCCTATTTGGCTTCTGCCTATTCCATCTGGAGAATTCCATATACACAGCTGCCATTTGTGTTGTTGAGAAGGTATTTGCTATGAATAAGCCATTGGTCTTTCAAAATTCTATCATACAATCTCCAGCTTTTTTTCTATTCCAAAACTATATTTTTAACTACGAGTCCTTCTTTCTTTCTTTTTTTAAAATTAAAGGTCATTTTAGTGGGATCTTACAGTTCTTATAACAATCCATACGTCAGTTGTATCAAGCCTATTTGTACATATGTTGCCACCATTATTTTCTAAACATTTACTTTGTATTTGAGCCCTTGGCATCAGCTCCTCTTTTCTGTCCCTCCTCCTTGTTTGTCCCAATTTCTCATTGAAGATCCCTATAACTCTGGGATTTACTTAGGTTTCTAATCCATCTTGAGTTTGCTTTTATATGTGGGCAAGGTATGAGTCCTGTTTCATTCTTCTGCAGCTAGAGAACCAATTTTTGCAGCATCATTTGTTGAACAAGATGTCCCTTTCCTATTTAATATATTTCTCAGTTCTTTGTCAAAAATCAGTTGGTTGTAGGTGCCTGTTTTTATTTATGGGGATTTCTTTCCCGCTCCATTGGTTTATATTTCTTTCACTGTCCCAGTACCAGGCTGTTTTGACTACTGTGGCTCTATAATAGGTTTTGAGTTTGGGTAGGGGTTAGTGCAAGGCCTCCTACTTTGTTCTGTTTAAGGAGTTTTGTGCTAATCCTGGGCATCTGATTTCACTATAGGAGCTGGTAAATAGTTTTTCTATTTATTTCAGAAATGAACATAAATTTTGGATTGGAATTGCATTGTTTTTGTAAATTGCTTTAAGGTTGAATTGCCATTTTCACAATATTAAATTTTCTATTCATGAGGATGGGCTATTCTTCTATTTGTGTAGATCTTTTTGATTTCTTGTGATAATGTTCGTCATTTTTCTTTGTACAGATATTTTGTTTCTTTGGTTAGATTTTGTTCCCTAATTTTTTATCTTTTGCTTTTCTAATGTAAATGGTATTTTCGTGATGTCTTTTTTGAAATGCTCTGTCCTGGTGTATAGGAATTCAATTGACTTCTGCTTGTTAATCTTATATCCTGCTTCTTTATCAAATCCCTCAATTGTTTCCAACAATCCTTCCTTTGAAGTCTTTAGGATACTTTCTATATAAACTCACACATTTTGCAAGTGAGAGCTTCACTTCTTCCTTGATTTCTTTTTGTTGCCTAGAGATTTTGACAAGGACTTCCGATATGATGTTGAATAAGAATGATGAAGGGGAGCATCCTTGTCTCGTTCCCATTCTCCTGGGAAATGTTTGCTGCTTTTCTCCTGTTGAGTGTTACCTTTGCCCTTGGGTATTCACACGTGGCCTTTATTATGTTGAGAATATCCTACTCTTCATATATTATTGAGTGTTTTTTTAAATCAGAAATGAGTGTTGGATATTGTGAAATGATTTTTCTGAATCTATTGATATAATTTTGTGGTTCTTAGTCTTTGTCTTGTTTACGTGGTGGATTAAAATGATTGTTTTCCTGATGTTGAGAGGTTCTTATTCTTTTATTTTGCTTATCCTTTTCCAAGCATGTGCCCTTCCCAGGTTTCCCTCCCGATGACATTTAACCAGTACTTAGAAGAAAGACCCTTCTGAGTGCCGTCTTCTAAGACAGATCATGTTTGTTCTTCTGGAAGTCCATGGTATATTCAGTAATCTTTTCCAAGACCAGTTATTCTCCGGTCTCCCTTATTCATTGTCCAGTTTCTTGTGCATTTGAAGGGATTGAAAACCGGCTGACTTGAGTCAGGCACATACACGGTAGTGACACCTTTGCTTTTTTACACCTCAAAGTGCTTTTTTCCCCTACATCAGATTTGTCCAATGCAATATGTTGATTGGTTTCTTGATGGCTACTTTCATGGACAGTAATTGTGAGCCCTGTAAAATGAAATCCTTGACAACTTCAACCTTTTCTCTATTTCATTAGGTTGCCAATTGGTTTGTTTGTGAGGATTTATGTTTTCTTTATGTGGAGATTTAATGTATTCGGATGGCTGTGCTATTCATTTATAAATGCTTTCGGTCCTCTTCATTGAGCAAATACTAGTTTCATTTAAAAAAAGGATTTTCTCCTATTTTGTGGGGAGGATTTTATAGAATTAGGGCTAATTCTTTATATGTTTTGTAGAAATCTCCAACAAACCTTCTGCACTCAGTATTTTAGAGTAGGACTTTTAAGGTGGCAGATTTTTAATTACTGGTTAATTTATTTATGAGGTTACTTCAAATTCATATTATGCGGTTTGTGGTGGTCTTTATTCTTCAATGAATGTTTCATCAGACATCAAATTGATGTCTATAGTTTTTCATAAAATTTCTGTTACCCTTTTGATGATTTCCAGTTCTGTAACAGCAGCTCCTTTTTCACACCTGATACGGGCAATTTATGTCTGCACCCTCCGTGTCTCCTCCCCAGCGCCTTGATCTTGCTAGAGGTTTGTCTATTTATACTTTAACATAATCAGCTCATTGCTTCTTTGCTTTTTCACTATTAAAAAATTATCATCTATTACTTTCTTAGGACTACTTGCTTTGGCCTTATTTTGTACTTCTTTCGTAGGTTTTTGAAGTGACATGTTAACTTACTGACTTGAGACTACCTTTTTTCTAGCATGTACATTTACAGCTGTAAATTTAGCTGTCAGCGGGGCTTCAGTGTGCTTCAAAAGTTTTGGTACGTTGTATTTTAGTTAAATGTATTTTAAAATTTCTATATGGGTTTCTGTTTGGCCCTTGGAATTGATAGAAGTATGCTTTCCCAAGAGTTTAGAGATTTTACTCTTATCCTTCTTTTATTAATTTCCAGTTTAATTAGTGGACACCTTCTCAAGGACAGATGCTCCCCTTAGACCCCCAAATCTATCCTCTCTCTTTCTCTCCCCTCACTCTGTGCTATGATCCAGTCTGTGTGTGCTTAGTCTTGGGATAGGAGGTGGCGAGGAATTTTCTTAATTGTAAATCATCTTTAGTATGAGGGTATCGGGCTTTACACTTTCCACATTATTAGCAGAAATGGTAATTATGTTCCGCCTTAAATGGGAACCGGGCCTTGATTTATGCCTTCCCTTGACATCATTTAACTTAGCTTAAGTCCACATTGGCTTTAGTCCTCAATGTACATCCAGGATTTAGCTCAGCATTTCTTGTAAAGTTTTAAATGTTTTGAAGTGGCATTTTTCATATTTTATTCAGGATGTTTTGATCTCCTATGGAAGAATTATTCTGAATAACTTAGCCTGCTGTGATCCCAAAGTTTCAGTATTATATTCCAATTTGTAATTCCTCTGAGCAACTGGATTAAATTAGCTATTAAAATATGAATATCAAAGTTTTACATTTCAGTTACACACACACACGCACGCACGCACGCACGCACGCACGGGGAAGGGGCCTTGGTGGCATAGTGGCTACAGGTTGGCCTGCTAACAAACTAAGCAGTTTGAAACCACCAGCTAATCCACAGGAGAAAGATGAGGCTTTCCACTCTGTTAAAGATTGACAGCTTTGGAAATCCGCAGGGGTCGTTCTCTCTTATAGGGTGGCTAGGAATCAGGACTGAATCAATGGCAATAAAATATATATTTACATATAATTATTTTATAAGTTCTGTGTGGATCTTAAACTTGCTTTGGTCTTTTGCTCCTTGGTCATACGATGAAGATTCAAATGTTTGTTTAAAAAAATGGAATGAAAAGATAATGGAATATGTTCATAGACTTTTAAAGTTGTCTTTTGTTTTCACCATCCTCTTTTTATATTTATCAACATGTAAATATATTTTATATTCAGTATCTTTTTATTTCTGTAACTGGGGTCTTTGTAGGTTAGCTTCTGCTTTCTGGTATTTGCCCATTTATTTCTGATGTGTTATGAAACTTTTTATTTAAAACTATGAGCTCATGTAAGGTGAAACCCGAAATTCTTTAAGGTCTGAGTAAGTTATGGTGTCTTTTCTAGGGAGCACTGGATTTATGTTTGGAAGCTTTTTAAGAAATTACCACAGGTAGATCACTTTTAGCTTCTCTTCCTCCACCCACCCCCCACCTCCCCAGGCCACACAGGTAATATAAATTCCCTTCTTAACTCTCTGAATGACCTTCTTGACCATGAGTTTTCAAAGAAGACTTCCTTCTTTACATTTAGAGCCAAAGCTGAGACTTGCAAGTTTGCAATTTTGGGGGTATGTGTGGGCTTTTTCTAGTTCTCTCTTTCATTGGGAGTATCACCTTTTGGGGTCACCTTGTACAGATAATCTCCTGGATGCGTTACCAGGCTCCTACTCTGCTGCCAGGCCGCTGCTGTTTTCCTGATGCAAAACCCTTCAAAGGCAAAGTGGGAGGTGGCATGAATTAGCAGATAACCCCTAGTTACTTCTTCATGGTTTACTTGTCTTTCTGGATTTGAGCTTTAATTAAAAAAATATATTCGAGCTTTATTTCTCTTATCTGCTACCTCAGTGAATATTACAACCAAACAAAACCTTGTATCAAAGTCCATTCTTAAGAAGTTTATTCTGGGAAGACTCTTCAGGGTATCTAGTGCACCCATTGCTTTTATTTTTCATAAATGTTATTTTTAATGTTTTCTTTATAGGATTCAGTTTAGCTGCATTTAAAAGAAACAAGAGGAAATTAGAGATGGCAGAAAGGGTGGAAACAGATTTCATTCAACTAAAGAAAAGAAGACAATCAAATGAAAAGGTCAGGAAGTATTTCATACATTATTAATGCATCGTAATATTTTTAATCTGTATATCGATACATAAGATTCAAGATGATTGCTATCCAGTAGAATATGACACTTACTACATATATATGTTTAAGCTTTCCAGCAGCTACATTAAAAAAAAAGAAACAGGTAAAGTATGTTTTATTCAACACATGGAATATAAAATAATTTCCTCATGTAATCTATGAAAAATTATTATTGATCTATTTTAAATTATATTTTTAATTAATTCTTTAAGACCAGTGTTCATCTTGTACTGACAGCAAGTATTTCCTTTGTATTTAGATTTCTTAAAATTAACTGTTAAAGGGGGAAGTGGAGAAGGAGGGGGAAAAGTGAGGAGCTGATTATTAAGGGCTCAAGTAGAAAGAAAGCGTTTTGAGAATGATCATGGCAACAAATGTACAAATGTGCTTGACACAGTGGATGTTTGTATGGATGGTGATAAGAATTGTACGAGCCCCCAATAAAATGATTTAAAAAAATAAATAAAGCTCCTCAAAACTGAAGAAAAAAAACCCCCACAATTTTTCTTTCTTTTTTTTCTTTTAATCATTTTATTGGGGGCTCATACAACTCTTATCACCATCCATACATACATCCATTGTGTCAAGCACATTTGTATATTTGTTGCCATCATCATTCTCAAAACATTTTCTTTCTACTTGAGACCTTGGTATCAGCTCCTAATTTTTTACCCTCCCTCCCTGCCACCCCCTCCCTCATGAACCTTTGATAATTTATTAATTATTATTATTTTGTCATATCTTACACTGTCCAATGTCTCCCTTCACCCACTTTTCTGTTGTCTATCCCCCAGTGAGGAGCTTAGATCCTTGTAATCGGTTCCCCCTTTCTACCCCACCCTCCCTCCAACCTCCCAGTATAGCCACTCTCAGCACTGGTCCTGAAGGTTTCATCTGTCCTGGATTCCCTGTGAGAAACACATTTTTTCATACTCAAATTATTCCAAACAGACATAGTATTTTCCATGAATTGAATTGAGTATTTTCTTAAAAATGAAAATATAATTAAGTTTAAAATTCAGGTTTTCATTTGCATTAGACATATTTAAGTGCTCCTAACTAGATGTGGCTCTTGACTATTGTTTTGGCCTATGTAGTTCAATGCTGATTTTTCATAAGATTATTCAGGGGTTAAGTGTATGTAAAAATTTACCATTTCATTAATCCATAGGAGCAGTTCTATTCTGTTCTATAGGGTTGCTATGAGTCAAAATTAACTCTAGCTGTCAGTTTGGTTGGGTTTTTGATAGGTATGCATGTAAGAAAGCAAACATATGCACCTACTCCTCATTTATCCACATGGTTAGGTTCCTAAGGTTTACATAACCAAGGTGTTGTGTAAATTGACATTGAATGAAGAGGAGGCGGATTCCGAGCATGCCTGGAGTCTGGACTCTGGGTACTGCTATTCTCTGGCACTGTTGTGCTCTGGAGTCCAAGGTTCTACATGAGGTCTGGCACTCTGACATCTCTGGGTGGCTCTACAAGAGGCACAGTTAGCAGTTGTTGGTCCGTGGGTCAATATGATGGTAGGAGCTGCTGCTAGTGCCCAGAACCACCTCTGCTGCTCCTGCTGCAGCCTTAGCTGCTTGCTGCTGCCCTGAAGGCTGGGGAGGACCCTGCTGGAATGAGTGACATGCAATCTGAGGCTGAGAGCCTGCAGCTTAATAGCAGCTTGGAAGGTGGCCCTCAGCAGTCCTGACTACAGAAGTGGAGTGTGTGGCTGGATTCCTCGAGACCCCTCAGGTCCCAGATTACCTCCTGGAACATTCCTTCTTGCTGCAGAATTTGATCCCTCCGGGGTGCTTGAGTGAAAGGAAGCAGCACAGCAAGTGTCCCTCCCCTTGCCCTCTCTTGGGCCCCTCCAGTCACTCCCAGGCCCTTCTCAGAAGGACTCCTCAAACATTGCCTTAGTCACCTCATTAGCATGAACAATTGCAAGGCGGCTTCCTTGGAGTTGGGGGGCTGTGACTGGTGAGCAGCCTTCTGGAGAGCAGGATGCTTTGTTGCCAGCCTGACAGACATGGGTGGATCTGGGGGGAAGGGAAGGGTGGCTGGCTGTGTTTAATGCACAGAATTATTGAATGGTACCTATTTAATTGTTGTAAAAGTGAATGTTGGAGTAGGTGTATTGGGTTGATAGTTTTTTTTTTTTTTTTTAATGCAGTCTATACGGAATCCAGGTCAGAGAAACCCCTCAGGGACAGAAATGGGAGTAGAGATACCAGGAGGGTAGGGGGAAGGTGGGAAGAGGAGGGGCAAAGAAACCACAGGGGAAGGGAGACAGCAGTCAGTGTAAGATACGAAAATAATAATAATTTATATTTTATCAGGGGTCGTGGGGTGGGGGTGGGACGAGGACCTGATACCAAGGGCTCAAATAGAATGTAAATGTTTAGAAAATAATGATGGTGACATATGTACAAATATGCTTGATACAATTGATGTATGGGTTGTTATAAGAGCTGTAAGAGCCCCTATTAAAATTATCTTTAAAAATTTCAGTCTAATTATGTGCATCCATTTCTTCTGACATTCTTTTTTTTTTTGCTTGCACACATTAATTGTCTCCATGAGTTCATGTATAGCATTCCTTAGGTGTTTTGAGATATAGAAAGAAGTTGAAAATCACAGCACTAATGCTCAGCCTTATGACATGGGAGTAGTTAGTACTTATTTCATGATGGACGTTTCATTTGATATCCTTTGATGATTAATTCTTGCACCATTGCATTAATAAAGGTTTATATTTTCTATCATTGTTTCTTATGGTTTATTAGCCATATGTAAATACTCGATAAATCACCTTTAAGGGTAGTAGATACTTTCTCAATTATTTATGTTGTGGGACAATGGATCAGTTTATTCCAAACCATTTTATACCTACTGATAGTGATAAGTAGGGTTTTAGAGCTAAGTGAAAAATTGATAATTAGATCCTAGTGAAAGCAGATCGTAGTATGGCTTTGCTTGTTGCCATTCTGAATTCTAAGTGGTCCTTGGCTAAGCAGATTCAGGGATTCTAGCTATGTTTAAATAATTTGTGATGAAATTTAGCTATTGTGAGTCATTTAATCATTAAAAAAATAAGTATATATACTCATTTAACCTATCATCCTATGAGGACATAAAACATGTGCAGTTGACTATGTCTCCTTCAATTAGTCCCCACATTCTAGAGGCCTAAATCCAATCTCACTGCTATATTCTATGCAATACTTACGTAAAATAAATAGTAATGTGAGCTGTATTTTAAAAATTGTGATGAAATTTAGTTTTGGTGAGACAGTTAATCAATTTTTATCAATGCACACAGCCATTTAACTTACACTCTTATGAAGATACAGGGCAGGTGCAGTTGTCTGTAACCTTTTTCAGTCAGACCCCACCCTCTATGTACCCACGGCATTGAGTTGATTCTGACTCATAGTCACCCTGCACAGGGTTTCAGAGGCTGTAAATCTTCATGGGAACAGATAATCAGCTTCAAGGGCCAGCCTTGCAGCTAGCAGTCTCTTTCTTATCCTCTGCCTCCAGCAGGGTTCTACCCTCTATGCTGTTGTTGTTGCGTGCCCCTGAGTTGTGCCTGATTCACACCGACTCATTGTCTTCTAGAACTCAGTGCTGCCCAGTGCCATCTTCATCATTATTGATGTGCCCATGGTTGGGTCCATCTCATTGAGGGCCTTTTTTGCTCCTGATAACATGTATAAAATACACTAAATGATGCTTTGCCATCATTGTTTGTGAGGAACATTCTAACCATATTTCTTCCAAGACAGATTTGCTTGTTTTTCTGGCAGCTCACAGTAATTTCAGTATTGATGACAAACGGTTTAATTCAATTGTATCAATTCTTCTGTTTTCCGTAATCATTGTCCAACTTTATGTACAATATAATGAGATGGAAAATTCCATGACTGGGTCTGTACTTTATTCTTTTGCTCTTAGAGAAATGTTAAAGAGGTGTAGATAAGCAGATTTGCCCAGTGCAATACGTAGTTCGATTTCTTGATGGCTCCTTCCGTGAGCATTGATTATAGGTAAAGGCAAAATGAAATCCTTGACAACTTCAGTCCTCTCTCCATCTGCTATGCTAGCTGTCTATTGGTTCAGTTGTGAGAACCGTAGTTTCCTTTCCACTGAGCTGTCATGCCCACTGGGGACTGTAGTCCTTTTCTTCTTCAGCCGGTGCGCCCAGTCCTCCTCACTTTCACCAAGGGCCGTCTATATGTCACAGCTTGCTCACACATGCTTCTTCAAGCCTGATGCCACACTCATCTTTACGTAGTCCACTTTCTTAGAGTCTTTGTTCAGCATACAGATTGAATAAGTATGGTGAAAGAATACAACCCCAATCTACACTTTTCCTGATTTTAAAATATGCACTATTCTCTTGTTCTGTTTGAACGACTGCATCTGGGTTCATGTACAAGTTCTCTGCACAAACACAGTGAAATAGTTTGGAATTCCCATTTTTCTCAATGCTATTCCCACCACTTGTCTGTCCGTGCGTCATACTGTGGTTCCTTGTGTGTCGCTGTGACTCTGGAAGCCACGTCACTGGTATTTCAAACCTCAGCAGGGTCACCGAAGTGAAGAGGTTTCAGTGGAGCTTGCAGACTAAGGACAGACAATGAAGAAGGAATCGACTGCCCCCTTTAGAGGAAGTACCCTTATGCATGGTTTCAAACATTTTCAGATGGCGAAGGCCTAATGAAGGGAAGCATAACATTGGTGGAGATAGTGCCAAAGGTGAGCCCCTGGAGTTGGAGGGCACTCAGGGTGGAGTTGACCAGGGGACATGAGTGAGGGAAAGGCTGTGGAGGTGGAGCCTTCAGGATCTTCATTTGTTGGTGGGCCATGACTCCAGGTAAGAAGCAACGAAAAACCACTGCACAAATCTACTAATTGTTGGAAGTTGGATTGTGCAAAGTATAAAGTTG